CGTCTTCGTCTTACTAAGTGCAGGCGTACTAATTAGCGTTAACTAGTTATATTCCAGTTACCACTACGTATGCAACCATTTTCAATTAGCGCCTCCCGATAACCATTAACGGACGACGAACACGAGAATGAGATGCTAGAGTGCGTGATTAGCACGTTTGCCCTGCGATTGCGAAGGTTAAGCGACTTTCTCAAAGATCGGTCAAGGGATAGGTGACCAAAATATAAATTTTGCTTCTCTAGATTATAAAATTTAGAGCTCCTCTGTGATTTAGGAGTCACGGTAGGCTATAGTATCTGCATCTATTCATAATATGTAGTTCATATTTCATTTTTTCACGACTGCAACGTCTATATTATGTTTTTTTCCGTAAGACTCATTTTACATATTTTTATGCTAATAACTTTTTCAACCCGTATGCCATTAGAATGATATGAAATTCAATTATTCTATTGTATTTAAATACATTTACTATTCAAATTTAAAATATGGATGTGGATTTAATGCCCGCGTTATGACGAATAGTGGCCAATATTCAACTTCTAAACTTTGCTGTATTCATTAATCAAAACAGAGCGGTTTTAATATTTAATTAATAAATCTAACCTAAACTTACTTCGTTGACTATTGTATTATTTCAAGAATTTATTTTAAGTGTTTAAGTTTTAGAACAAAAATTTCGTAATCTAAAATTGGGTACATAAATTATGCAAAGCTCATAACTGTCGTTTCGTTGATTTAACTTTATTCCTAACTATAATCGAAATTGTTTTATAGCCTTTTAATAACTTACATAAATCGGGGATTTGATTAAATATTCAAATTAAGTCACGCGATCGTTATACTTTAATGTAGGATTAGGTTTTACATACTAACATACCTATGTTGATCAGAAAATATAGGTAATCAAACAATTACTGTTACTTTCAAACTACTGGTCTAAAGGTGCTTATTGTCGCGGTAAAAAGTAGCCTACGTGTCACTCATCAGCCTCCGAACTAGCTAACTATAACAATAGATAACTGTCCGGATTACAATGGGATTCTTTGCTTAGTACCCGGACCACACGAAAGGGTGAAACGGAAGGTTTTGTAGAGTAGGCCAACTGCACTGAACCGCCGTCTCTTGCAGTTGGAGAGCCACGGTTTATTCGACCTCTTGTCCAGCAGACCAATTCTGATAATGTTAAGGTAATAATTGCATCTTAAGAGAATCTCAAGGACTTGCATTTTATACCATTGCACTATTTACCTAAACTCCAATATTATTAGTTCAGTGTCTTCTTCATACATCAATGGTGACAGATATATAATAATATTGGAATTTAGGTAGATAGTACAATGGCAGATTATTAGGTACGTAAACAATATACGAATAGGCCTGCTGGTCGATGAAGTGTTAAGGCCAATTAATTCCCTTCGATTGGAGATCCGGCAAGCTCCTTGCTGGATCCTGAATCCTTCCTAATGTCCCTCAACTGGATAGAGCATACCATATCTAAAACGGGTACCTAATACAGATAAATGTATGTTAAACCTGCAGATATGTGTATATGTTAAAGACTCCAGGTACAAGGGCTAAAGTTTCTTCTAAGTCGAACTAAGTGCAGTGCGAGCAATCCTTCCATTTGTGATAATCATACTCATAATTCTAAAACTCTCATTTCTTCAATCTTCAATCTAGCGACATTAAAATTTTACTTGTAACATCAGAGTATTGAAAAAATCACAGACTTTATACAAAAACAATGTCCGACCTTTTCAGTAATTAATTAAAAGCGCTTAATAAAAAGTAGATATGCGAAAAACGGGTCCCGTTTCAACGTCAAGTGTCCCTCCCATAAGCATCATGTACCGCGTATGTTTGAGACATATACCCGTACTCACTCTTATTGTCATTATTTGGGTCACGGTCTACATATATCGTTTCCTCACGTGTCAAGAGTTCCTATCAACCGTCCTGTTTAATGGAAACCTTAATCGTAACGTTTATAGGTCCTATTATTATTTTTTTATTTGAAAAATAAATTGCATAGCAGTAATAGAAACTATCGTCTTCTTTAAAGTAGGCGTTACTTGATTCTTTATAATTCAGCTGTTCAAAGAATGTTTCAGTGTCAACATACCTCGAAATGTTAAAAATTTGACTCAATATTTCAGTCGATTCAATAAAAATAGTAACTTGACAACAATCGCTATAAATTATGTAAAGTTATTATTATTTGAAAACGTAATGGGTGATTACGCGAGGTTACCCGAGGTCGAGTACGACACGCAATGCCACACCCTCCTACTGGAAATACTCGACACAACACTAGGAAATGATTACACCAGAAGAATCTTCAGGCATTCTTACAACTTTCTTACTGCATCGATTGCAGAAATTGGCTACCAATATCAGGTACAAAAGGTTGTTTTCGACAAAAGGTTGCATCTTGTGTCACACGAATAAGTGACTAAAGACAATGCCGTTTTAAGAAGAAATGTACAGTCAGAATGCTCGCAGTTTGTTGGGCACTAGAAACTTAGTAAGGGGTTTGGTGAATACGCATGCGCTACGGCCAAGGACACTCGCCGCGCCTCAGTCTGGCGGGAGGCAGCGCCGCGGCCGCCTGTTCGCGGATGTTCCCATGCACCACGATACGGGCACCCGCAGTGGCCCATGCGTGAGTCCGTCTCGACCACCGTATGCCAGACCCAGCGCCGGCCCCAGCCCGCACGGCGACCTTAAGTTCCGAAGCCCCGAGGTCGCTCCGATTCAGTCTCGTAATTGGATTTTATCGTTCAATAAGCAACGTTATTCTGATTTGATTGGCGAATGCTTTCCGCTTCGACGTAGTAGCCCGCTTCTTCACTTCTTATTGGTGGCTCTTGCTTTAAATGTAGCGGCTTTATTTGTTTTCAAAACTGATTAGATATCGAGTGCGATATGAGGACTTACGTAATGTATTGCGAAGTCGACGGTGCATCATGCAGTAGATGTAATCGTGTTAAGTGTAGCGGACGCTGGCAGTGAGTGCGCGCGCGACACGATCAGTAGTGGATATGACTTGCTGGGAAAGCGTAGGACTCCTGGGCCCATGCGCGTTACTGGCCTCGTCTGACGTCAGGGTGAGTCTAACCTGCTCATCTATATCGGATCAAAAACTTCCAGGACCCGTTATTTCATTTAAGTTTATAGCACCATCGTCGTAGTCTAGCTGACCCATTTTAACCCAAAACTTGTTTTTCATTTCTGCAACTAAAGGAAAAGTTTGATAGTAATTTTGCGAGTAAACACACTGTATTTCATGTTAATGTTGTTTGCTATAGACACTCAGATAAACATAAAACAACTTTGAATGAGAGTTTTGTATATATCTATAACCATAAGCAATAATTAACTAATAATAGTTTATTTTATTTTGAAATGGATTTTTAAACAATAACGTAACTCATTAAAATATTTATATTCTACTAATTATTTTTCTGGAAACTGTAATTAAAATCAGTGATAGTCCGGACTTTTAACGAGATACATTGCGAAATGGTCTCAATAGCACTTTTAACCACCGAGGAGGTGCTTCAAAGGAATGCATTTTGGCATTGCCTGGATAATTTATGGATTGTCCATGAATTGGAGCCGTTCGAAGAAGTTAAGCCTGAGCACGTGTATTCAAAACCGTTATCAAGAGATTTTTACTATGCAAGATATCCAGATATACCTCGTAGTGAATCAGAGGAAGATAATTCAGTGAGTTTATCGGCATTCAAGAATAAACACAGGGAATGGAAGGCAAAAGTGTGCATTAGAAAATTTGATAAGAAGAGAAGACTTTCGCAGCACTCTAGCAGTAGTATTGGTTCAAATAGTAACAATTCAATTAATCGTACAAGAAACTCAAGAGGAAGCAGTTATAATATCGAGTCACCACGTGTTGAACAGAACGATGAAAAAATAAAAGCATTCTTCGATCGTTTGTTAGAAAGTGTTCCTCCTCCACCCTTACCTGTATCATTTAGGACAGAACCGAATGATGATATTATAGAAGTACAGCAAATAAAAGAAGAAATATACTTCGAAGAATTGGATCTACCTGATTACGTAGAATTTGAAAAACATAAAATATCTGAAAAAATATCTGTAAAAGGACTTATACCAGCAACATCCACTTTGAAAAAACTGAAAAGAAAAGTTAGTTTCAATTTAAAGAAACCTTTCAAAAGTGAATTTGAAATTAGCGAATCTTGGTATGAATCATTATATGGAATTTCAGATTTTAGTGCACCAAATGCAAAAGAAAGTAAAGAAATAACAGACGAGAGCAGTGCTATTACAAACGAAGCTTGTGAAATGGAGTACGACGAACTTCAAGATGTGATTATGCTACAAAGATCAGACATTACTAATGCCGAGAAGATGGAATCAAGTGAAACTGTATCTTGGTCTGAAATTGCCAACAGCTGTGGGTTAAGTGAAGGGATACACAAATTTGAAAATAAATCACAGTCTACAGAAGAAATCGTAAGCAGCTCACACTGCGCTGATACCATTTTCGATCTGGCGATTGATGATGTTGATGATGAAATTGGTTACGCCAGATTTGCAGTGTATAAAATTCATCAAACATTAAAAATAGAAGAAGGCATGATCGATTCGTCTTCAATGAGAAACTTTGATGAAGAAGACGAAAACAACGAAACGGAAATTAAATTCAATGCTGACCACGACTTTTACGCAAATGTTTATCGTTTAGCACCTCTATGTGTAGATGATTTGGTAAATTAGCTTCAAAGTAGTTAAATAATGTACATGTATATATTCAACTATTTTCTTTCTTGTGTTATATCGAATAAATATACTTATATATGTAAAGTTGCTTTTATTTTTTTTATATATCGTATTTTAATGCCAAACCATCGACTACGTAATTTAGGTATTTTTTTGTATTGTCTGCCTTTTGTGTATTTTATTCTGAAGTTAAGAAATGTGAATCTATTGAAAATATTCATTTGTTTCAGCCTCCAGAGAACGAGTTACAGAAGAATTCTGATCGTGTGCTCTCGGAGCACGAACTGCGAGTTCAGAGATCATTACAGAAGCTCAATGTGCCCGAATGGTATGATAATATTTATTTATTTTTATGGCCTCCGCACTTGAGTGGGCAAAGCGATTTTAAAGTTTTTATGCCTGGTTCGATTCCACAGGCCATTCTATAACATGATTTTTTCTATTTCCATAACAGTAGAGCTTTATTTGCTATTTAGCATTTTGGGATTTGGGATCTAGCAATAATAATATTAATAATCATCATCATCAGTCCTTTTACGTTCCCACTGGCTCAGGCCTTCCTTGTGGATGATTAAGGAGGATGGCTATGACCCGACCCGCTGGCCCAATGCGGATGGGAGGGTATTAACGACTGCAAATGCAGCTGGGACCAACGGCTTAACGTGCCTTCCGAAGCACTAAGTAGCTCGAGATAACACTTTTCAGTCACCCATCCCGTGACGGACCTTTGCGAAAGTTACTAAACAGCAGCGATCGTGCTCCGCGGCGTTTATTCACTAAGCCACCGAGCTACTCATATTAATAATAGCTATAAAAATTTAATTATGCCTATAAAAATTATTACATATATTCAAACTAAAAACAACGTTATAGCTTTATCAGCCAGTTTCACAAACGTCCATTAAAGTTTATTTTAGCCTTTAAGCTCTAATGAATGTTGTAAATTCAAAAATTTGTTCCGATAATGTGGCTTTAATGAGAATTTTAATGAACGTTAGTTCAACTGACTACTGACTTATATCGTTAGTATAAATATCAATAAATAAATATATTACAAACACTTTTGAACTGAAATAACATCTTTTAAATTATCTAACAAGAGGAAAGACGCACATGTTGGATTATTTAGAGAAAATTGTTGGATTATTTTAAGAAAGTTTTAATTTAATTTCCGATAATATTATGGTAAATAACATGACTATTAAGTTTTACTTTAAAAAATAGAACAACAAGATAAATCTAATAAAATCTAATAAAGACGAATTTCAATGGTAAATAAATACGTAACTTCGTACTTATTATACTATAAATTTTCTATTCACAATACTATATTGACATTTAACATAAAGAAAAATGCTTAAAAAATCACCAGTGCCAATGTACTCCTGATGGGATTTCAACCCACAACCATTCTCAATCCGGGCAACTGCACTAATCTTCGTACTTTTTTCTATTGGGAAAATTTAATAAAATCTCGGTTCAATTGGTCAACTGGGACATATACTTACAATTTGTAATAAATTATTTTGGTTTAGATCTCATTCCTTAACTGAATATTAATACCTACTTATATATTTAAATGCTTTAAATGAAAAAAATATGTTGCCCTGACATCGTATATACAGAAGCTATCTAGCCTTACTGATAGCGTACATTGTTAATGCAATGAGTATTTAATGGGTAACGAACTATTACTTAGCTTAAGTACTACTTAGCTCAAATTAGATTAGAGTAAACCGATTTGGAATTGGATATGTATGCGTGATTATCTGTAGATAAGCTAATTCGTTATTTTATCTTCTAATAGTTTCGATAAACGGAATGCTCAATAAAGAAAATGAAACTTCATTTTTGCTAATAATAATAAGACTAGTTTATAGTAAAAATAATCTTTATCAATTATTTTATGATACTTGATACCACCATAAACAACTATCATTAACAGTGAAAATAAATTATTCGATATACAGTTACTGTGATTCACAGAAATTAATCTATCTATCTATATATATAAAAATGAATCGCAAAATGTGTTGGTAAGCGCATAACTCAACAACGCCTCGACCAATTTGGCCAAATCTTTTTTTAAAATGTTCGTTGAAGTTCAAGGATGGTTTTTACGGCGAGAAAAATTAGAATTATTGCTGGAAAAACCCTAAAAATAGCCCTTTTCTTTTTCCCATACAAATGATTTGTAACTAAAACGTAGTCAATTTGAGCTTTATTGCTATGGTATAAAGTTCATATTAAATTACAAGCACTCACTGTTGTCTAAGCAATGTAGGTGTGCTCCTAACGTCAAAGATCATATCTATCAAAACAATGTGCGTGTGTGCGTTGGAGCACAGAATACATAGTTGGAGGAGTTTAATGTCGCGTTCCGAAACTCGCGTTTCTTTTGTATTAGTTTCGGCACGCGAGATAAAATGCATCAGTTTCCACGTCATTACATGTATTGCCGGAACATTGATGAAAATACGCTCTGTAGTAGCAAAGCTGTTGGGTCCTAGATAGCTCATTGGTTAGAGCAGTCCCTGGATCGCGAATGGGTTCGAGTCCCATTCCGGGGTACAGGTAGATGGATTCTTCCAGCATTTTTCCTTGAGAATGTTTATGTATTTTTTTAATTCGAATAGTTTACTTTTATAATGCTGTTGTGTGTAATGTGTTTTTATGATCATAAAAATCTCTTTTTTCTATATTTAATACTATTACTATTAATACATTGCAATAATAATTATGATTCACATGATTAACAATAAAGCGATTACTTACTTTTAAATCCTTATATATGTTTTATTTAATTATTTTTTATTCACAACGCCCTATCACCAGGGTGACGGTTCTGTTCAGGAGAATCTTTTTAAATACGTAGGCAAAAAAACTGCCACATTACAAATCTTTTTGACAGGACGAAGTCTGTCGGGTCAGCTAGTAGATAATAAAAATAGTTACGCGAAATCAAAGTTGATTAATATTATCTACCGCAATAATTACAAATACAATCTGATGATCAATGATATTAGTTTATTCACCTCATTTATAGGTCGGATAACAATAACCAGAATCAGAATGTGGATAAAAATTTTTACCTACTTTCATAACATTCTACGACCATACAATGATTTAACAAAAGTGATAAAAACCAACCAAGTGCAAGTATATATATATAAACACATCCACACATCACCAGACCTTTTACGTCCTCACTGCCTTCCTTATGGATGGTTAAGGAGGATGGGCCATGACCCTCCAAGCTGGCCCAATGCGGATTGGAGGGTAATATAAATATTCTGTGATTATTTCAAGCGTCTACCTGTTGGCGTTATCTATATCGAGCAAACAAATCACGCTTGTTTTTGGGTGGAGGGGGTCAGTCTTAAACTTTACAATTACCAAGTATCAGCAAGCGCCCCTTTCCCTTTAAAAAATTGCTCAAAAAACCACACTTATATAAATATACTAATAAATAAATAATAGGTGTATTATAAGATCCGGAATTTATAAAGTGAATTTGATTTAACTGAATCTCTATGCTATGACAGCGCAACGATGACGACCTGTTATCGGCTATTTAAAAAACGAAATAGCACTGCAGAGGATAGCGAATTGCGCGGAAATAACGGTTTTTAATTAATTACTCGCTAACTATTACAATTAATAATAAAAGTACAGCATAACTTCCCCGCCTACAGATTAACTCACGTATTTATAAATTTTCCCTGTAAAAAAGTTTAATTACATTCCTGGTGGAAGAATGGTAAAATAAATAAAGTTCGTCAACAATTATATTGATTTTTCGAAAATATTTAGTATTTATCTAATCTAGAATCTACAAATCGTTCAGAAATGAAATAAAACACTTTCGTATCATTGATCGAATAAGCGTTTCAGAATTCACCCCTATGAACGTTTTTTTATGGTTCAAAGGCAATCTTACAGCCGTAATAAATTACACATTTCACTTAGGACGTAATACATACTTCAGGTACAAAAACGCACCAGCGCCCCGAGAGGGATTTCTCCTACGAAAGCGGCTGTCGGATGCGTCTGCGTCAGCCACACGATGGAGTGGCCTCAACTCGAAGACCACGTCACTCGGCAGTCTTGGGAACAATGCGCAGCCGCCACCTCCCCAACTTTCTCCACATACCACCAGCTTCGGCAGATGGTCTACTAGCAGACTTAATTCAAATCAAGTGAGTACAACGATTACATAATCAATAGCTCATTCTATCATATTTTATTACTCATAATGTTGAAAAATAGATCGAGTGCAAGATTAGGTTTCTAAGTTAACTACTTATATATTTTTTTATATCTGGATGTCGCTTTAAGAAACTGGAGAACCATTTTCTGCATGGTGTATTATCTCGAAAGGTCGATTCTCTTCATGATAATTTTCTAATAGTGTCAACTACCATTTCTTTATTGACCGGAAATCGTTATTGTGTATTACTGAAAAATCATTGAATTCGTGTTTCATTAGTTTACCAATGATGATTATTGACTTAAATTATCATTGCCAAATAAATTGTAAAATCATTGCTTTGCTGAGTAATATTATGTGTTCATATTACTTACTTACTTTGATTTAAATAACTTGCGGTCGGCGTGTAGTTTACTAATATGGCCGCCCGAAATGAAGTGAAGTGGCACTAGTGCACCCAACCTACTTAGACTTCATATCGAAAAATAACAAAATGATATGGACCTAACTTCTTCTTCTAAACAATTGGAAATTCTAATTCGTTGTTTCCTAAGAAAATTAAAAATATTAAATATTATTACTTAATTTGTGGCGTTCTTCAGACGTCACCCTGTTCTTCAACTCGCAGCAGCATCCGCGGCACGAGTCCTCTTTGCTCGCCTTCAGCGCGGTCCTCATTCAGCGCACGGCAACCCTACCTCGGCTGGAGAAGCCAGGAACGACTGAACAGTACCCCTAGAACACCACACGAAAGGTAACAATATCATTATTCCTCATTTAGTACTTTATGTATACAAAACATTATCTTTTGTAATTCACAAATTTAAATCATCTTCAGAATAGCAAATTAATAGCTGCTCTACCAGTTGACCAGTACCAGAGACCCTACCCACATTGTGCAATTTCTCAAGTATTTATTCGCGAAAGGTCATGGATTTCGAGAACCTAAGATGTTTAATTATTTAAGTAGTTTTAAATAGATAAAACATTGTTGATACAAAATTTATCCAAATATTACCAGATAGACAATTTAAAAATAATAGAATTTTTCCAACAATAGTATTTTTGAACATATTAACGTAAATGGTTGCTTATACCCAACGTAAGAATTTAACACTCTTTTCGTTAATCTATACGATCCACGAGCACCTTAGTATCTGACATATAGGTTTCAGTACCTGGGAAGGCTCCCATGGGAGGCTCCCATCAAAGACAACTTCGAGTCAGATCTAATCTGCTACTCCAGACTCCTGGTCATCGTTCATGTTTATTTCCAAATATTTTTCTCTTACTGTGATACGACTATAGAATGGACTATCTACCTCTGAATGTACAAAATATTCTGAATAGAATAGTATTTAAGAGAACACTATCTAAAAGGTATCAACATATCCTGACTTTCTAATCTAACATGTCTTTGGGTATTTTCTTCACCGGTTGACTGCTAGATTCCCTGGTATTAATTCCGCCATTTCCTATAATTTGGTAATAAAGATTAAAAAAATTAATGCCACACTAAATGAACCGCAGTTTTGAATTTTATCCTCGTGTTTCAGGCTTGCTTCTTCTCTATTGCAACAATCAGCATCCTCGAAGGCTTCCGAAGAGATCCAGTCGTCTATCAAGGAAGTGACGTCAGCGATTGTCCACTACGTGTCGGCGTTGGAGCCGGCGAACGGTGACATCGACCGGCAACCTTCGCCGCGCTCCAGCCAAAAGTTGTATTGGCTTGAAAGCTCCTTTGTCGGTAAGTCTAATTCGTAAATAAGGAAATCATTTACTAGTAGCATCGAACCGCATTGGGATCAATGTTATTGGAATCAGCCAATAAATATTTGATTACTACTCAAAGTTATTCGGTAAGATTCTATTTTTAGAGTTCCAATTTAAAGAAGCCTCCATTATTTAAACGATTGCTAATTTTATTTCTATTATAGCATGTTTACTGTAACAAACGTAGTTTTGAATTAAAACAAGTAATTATTGGCATTTTCTAAAGTGTTTCCGATACTGTTTTGAATTATTCTAAACTCAATACAGGATTTGTTGTGCCAGGAGTCTAACGTCCCAACTGTTACTCTCTTGTAGAAGTAGTTTGTGAACTTCTGAAGTTTCTGTTTATTAGTTTGTTTTCACGTTTCTTATGTTATGACATATTCGATGCACTTCGATGATACTATCTGAATCCAGGAATCAAAGAAACACCTTGCAGTTTTATTGTCATTTACTTACCAATTGAACACATTTCAGTTAACAAATCCCTTTCGTATTAATGGACTATGAAATATAATCGGATATATGTTTCCGCCTTCAGGTACTAAGCCCTTGGAATCCCCGCAGACGCCCCTGGTGGTGTCAGAAGCGTTACCGCCGCCGCATCCGCGACCGCCATCTTCTCTACGACTCGACAATCGCGCCGCGCCCGGTGAGCGAGCGTGACCACGTCACCATACTACATTGCAGCTTCAGACCTATGACCACGCGACACATTCCCCACCCACGCATCAACGCAACGCGAACGCAATGTTTCGCACACACGATGCAGAGCGGTGCACAAAAATCGGTCGATTGCATTTATTGTTACGTCATAAGTCTGAAACTGCAGTGTCTATGTTATAATTATGTTACGTTTAAATACTCTGTGCGTTATTTTTTGTTCTGTTCAGTGTATTTTTTTTTTGTGAAATGACTTTCATCATTGGAGGGGTCATTTTGTGAAATTTATGTGTAATAGAGCTTTATAGACTGTGTTTAAGACTCAGGACCATTATATTTTTTATTGATTATTAGTATGGTTATTATTTTTGTAACATTCACGCACTATTTTTGGTATTATGCATTTTTGTTCATTTTGTATAAGTGTTTCACTTTTGCGCTATGCAAATAAATAGCACATGCTTATAATGGATTATTTATTACGTTATAACTTATATATGTGCACCTTTTTGTGGAAAATATATTATTTAATGTTGGTGTTACCAGTACAAAGTATAATGTTGAATCAATGTTCGTACAGCCAAGATATTACTTGACATAAATATTCAATGCAATTTTATATTCCAATTATTCTTTTGTAATATTTATCGCTGATTCTAAACATTTCATAATTTAAATAGTCAATAGTTAAGATTATAGTTAATATTGCCATAATTATGAATTCTATGACACAAAAACCCAGTTGATTCTTAGTAGTTTCATTCAATGTACAGAGTAAATTATTCGTTTTGTGTGTTTTATTTTAAATTAAGTTATTAGTATTAAAGAACTAGTAAATACAGCGATGTAAATAAATCATTATACTGTTTTAGGTGCTAATATTATGATATTTACGTAATTTTATTGGTTTAAACTGTTTTTATGTCTACGAAATTACAATATCTGTTACGTAACCACACTGAAGCTTTAATAGGGATCACAAACAATATGTAGATATGCCAGTAAAATGCCTATTTAATATATATATTAATATCAAATTAAATGGCAACAGTTATCAGAACCATAAGTGTATGTGATGGTGAGTAGTGACGTCATACTGATGTCTCATAAGAGTTTAAGTTCCTTCAACTTAAATCACCTCGTAATTTATGTTGGGGCTTTTGTTAGTCCCTAAGTAAATTATACAGGTTCTGATTAGGTTAGAAAACGTACATTTGCGTTCTTGATTCGCACCGCCCGAAGCGCCGTTACCGCGTGACGATTGTTTAATCGATGATTAAACGTTTAAGAATTAGTGCATTGTATAATTTTATATATATAGTTTCATTACATTAATACCATCAGTGAAATAGTAGCTCTCTATGTCTACATATATATTCCAAATACATATAGTACGTATATAACAATGTTTCATATAGCTTATTAATTGTGTATGTTAGAATCTCGGTCACATATCCGTGTTATTTAGTTTAGACTACATGAAGTGTTAAGTCTTTCATAATATTATGATTTCGATCATTGTAATTTTAGTTAATGTTTTAATTATAATGATTATTGAATATATTAATTTTTATTTTAGACATTTTGTTTTATTTTTTATTTCTGTGACGTTTTCATTTAATGCACATTTTTAGCTAAATCTAACGCAGAGTAGACTGGCTCGTGACTAACGATAAAGGTAAGTGAACACTCAATAGTCTTTTCTTTATTTTCGTCTTCACTTTTTGTCATAATGCATCAGCCGACAAGTCGTGCTTAACAACACCTATTTTGAAAAAGCCCTGTTTTCTTTCCTCGCCGATTTTTGTCGAAGTTGCCAAATGCCAGTTAAAAATCATTGCCCGTACTCTCCACAGACTGGCAAGACTCTCAACGCACGCTAAACCTGGGTATCGCTAGGCCGTCCCCAGGATCCACTACCCTTGAAGACGTTCTGGACTCTCTTTTGGGGCTGCCGTCGCAGCCAACCAGATTACCTACTCCTCAGCCGAGTCCTAGGAAGGCTACAAGCCCTTATTATTTAATGGGAGGCAAGGTATAAAAATCAATTTAAAAATACAAACTGATTTTTATAATTTCTTCTTTATATAAGTAGATGAACAACAAAAAAAAATCTCAGAAAATGTTATAATAACATTGATATGCTTACAATGTTTATTAAAACCTTCCGATAAACCTGAAGCCTACAATACTGCACAACAAAGGGAGCCAATTTATTATTTCCAATTATTTAACAAATGCTACTCGGCTTGCACTTACAGCTCGAAGTTCACAGTCCACGTGCAATTCTAAACAGGATGCTATATAGCCGAAATTTTATATAACTTAGCACTGTATCGTTTTATAAATGAAAAGTGAAAACGCTTCGCTATACTCACGTACTTCTAAATCCCTTTACTTTGGTGTCAAACTACCGTATCCTCAGACAGTTAGCAACCTGTACATTTCCAACAATGCACTGCAGAGTCCCCGCTATGAGCAACTAGTAAGCAGTGGACACAGCAGCGGCTCCCCTGCCTCCCGCTTCCTAAGCACCCCTAGCGAGGGGCCTAGCTCACTCAACGACCCTAGCCCAGATCGCGACCGACCAGGTAGGAACGATATGTAAGTCCAAGACGTTCCAATTTTAATTACCTAACCGCACTTTATATCTTTTTTATATTCACTTCTTTTGCACTGACGTGTATTAGCTCGTATACAAAAAGACAATTTTAAATAATCATACAGTAACTATTTAAGGAGAGTATAAATATTTTTAGGTTCATATAAAAATGATTCACATGATTTTTTTAGTTTGCATGATCTGTATGTGCCAGTGCCAGCATGTCAATGTGATTTCCCGTAGAACTTTGTGATTTTTATGGTTCTGAGTCTTAATTACTTTATAATTATGGAAAACAAATAAGTTAATTCGCTTAATGTTACAGGCAGGGATACAGTTGATAATCCTACCACGATGCAAGAGCCGAAACGGTCGCGTTCACAGGGATCCCAACATTCGCGTCGCAGAAGCGAGCCCTTCACCCAAACTAACGCCCCTTTCGACCGCCGCACCAGCTTAGATGCGACGGCGCTGCGCCCTTCTGAATCTCAGCTCACCCACCATGACTCCAGAAGCTCACTGCTCTCTCTACAAACTGATAACAGTACGGATGAAGCTTACGTCAAATGTAAATACCCCAAGTGCACCTTGCGAGCTCCTTTGGCAGAAGCTAAAAGGCATTACAAAACTTGCCACAACTGCACAACACTGTACTGCTCGAAGGAGTGTCGAAGGGCACATTGGGAGAAACATAGAAAGGTCTGTTTGCATTCCCGTGCGAGCGCCCTCTGTAGACAGATCATTTCAGCGGCCAAGGAAGATGCAGATTCCTTGCATCAAATCAGTACTATTGCCCACAAGGGATATTTAGCAGTAGGGCGAGGAGTAGTGAAAATTTTCTTTACGAGCCCAGAAGCAGCAGAAAAGTTTACGACACACGGTTACCAGTACTTAACTGAGCCTGAATACGTTAAATGGACTGCTCTCCAGCCGAACGAAATGGGTGTAGAATTGTACACAGAAGTAGTCAAACTGTGCAAGGCGTACAACCCAGAGACGAGGATAATATTATACGTGGCTGTGTGCATAATAAGTGAAGTACCTACTAAAGGTGCTGTCAAGTGGGAAAGACAGATGGTGTCGCGGTGCGCGAAACTTAGATTAAGCAAAACCGTGTCAGTTGCTATACAGGAGCAGAATCGTCGGCGCCACAGGCGGGATAAAGGAACACCCGACGAAAGGGAAACGTTGATATTGAGATCCAAGTTGTGCAACGCCGGCGAGAAGAACGCAGCTACCGCTCATAAATTTAGAGAAATATGCTTTCAGAACATATCTAATGAGCTCGAAAATAGGGGCGTGGTGTTGAAGAAGCATTTTCCGGAGGTATACTCGAGGTTGGCGGCATACGTGGATGGCACGAGCGATAGGTTTATCCCTATGACAATTTATCCAAGAGACGTGTCGACTGGAAAATCGTTTATGTGTGTGATTATGCCTGATAGTGAATTAGATAGTGGTACGCCTGTGGACGGGAAAGTGGTCACCGTAGACGTAGGTGAGGACCGCTCGCGACACCAACTCTCTACACCCATGTAAGAATTGGTGTAGCTATTAAAATTAGAAAAGAAATCAATTTAGAATATCTTAATTGAAATGTACGTAAATTCATGCGTCATTATGACGTGTCGCAGTGTGTCTTGCCCATTGCTTCATCTACTTTTCGGTAAGATGTATAATTTTACTAAGATTTGTAATTTTACTCTCCTTACATGAGTCTCGTATGTGGAGCGATGTTTAATGTGCCCTTAAAATATGGTTATTTTTAGAATAGCGCTAAGTATATGAGTAACTTTCTTATCAGCTTCCTACCCTACGAAAATATGTCGTTAACTTAATCAATGTGATTGACAAAGTTATGGCATTTCGTAGAGAGTTCTTTTATTTTGGATTTAACTTCAAACGTTTATAAATCTGCTGTCTGGTTAGAGGGCTTGAACATTATTATAATTATGCCAATTCTCCTGTACCTCTCAACTATACTAAAAATAAGAAGGTTAATTTAATTTGAATTTAAGCTAACGATATTAACGAAATCAAAGAATTATTATTATATACTTCCATGCTAGAACAATTTTATGTATTAATTTAAAAATGCAATTTCACAGGAATACTTCTTAATTTAGTTTAGTGCAACAGAACTGCCACCATTATAAAACCACGTGGGGCAAGTGTGCGCACTTCTGTTTAAACATGTTGATAAATAGAAAACAACAAAAGACATGAAGGAAATTTGAGTCGGATTAGTAAATTTATTTAAGAACACTGCCGCCGCGTCCTGCATTCCTATTCTGTAAGGAACTCAATATTGAGCACAACGCCGTCAGTCATAGGAGGATGAATAAAATAAAACCTTTAAAAAATTTTTGATGATAAAAATGCAATGAAAGATTTAAAAAATTGTAAAGTCATCATACACTTAATTAAATATCAACCCTATGTTCTAATCAATGGATCCAGAGAAAAGCTTCGTATTTTATAAGTATAATATGGAATTGTAATCGGAGATTTTTAACTTTCATCTTCCTCGATATCATTTTTCTTAGTTATTTATTAATATAAAAACCTGAATTATATTTGGTATTTATATATATTATAAAATACGAAGTATTTTCATCCTAATTAAAATATTTTGTATTTATTGTATTAAAATAAATTATAATATTCATAGTTATAGTGTCATTGTTGTTTTCATTATATCTAAACTATTTACTATCCGTGGTTTTGTTAACGCGTACTTAATTTTAATTATTTTTAAATAAATAATATTGCATTATTATAAAAAATGCCTTTTCACATATTTAATTATTGACAAAATTTATTAACTTAAAGGGACTTTAAACGTTTTACTTTTATTTATTTAAGCATATTATAATATTGTATAGACGTTTTAATGAAGAAAAAATAGCTTATTTAAGCCAAAGACTTCCAAATCTTTGAGTAAATGAAATGGATATAATATTTAAAATTATAATAATAAAAAAATCATCATTTAAGTGTCTATATGGTCTTTATAACTTGGACAATATCAAATCATTTTTAATATATGAACATATTTAGATGATCCAGATAAAATAAATACATGTGACATAATTGTAGCATTGCTTATTATCAGAAAAATATTTTTAGTACAAAATAATGCTTGAAGAAAATTATATTTTCATACTTTTAGTTCGGTGAGCTAAAAAATCATCTCCAGATAATAAAAGAGGTATATCCTATATTTATATAAATGAATATGGTCATAACCATTAAAAAATATGAATGCTAGCGCGATTTTAAGGTTTGGATTGAATTAAATGTTACAGTGTGGTTACTCCAAACGGTAATTATCACACCATGTTATTTGTCCGTACGTGCTGCCTATACCTTCGCAGACATCGCGTTTATAAGGAAAGCAATATCTAATTTCAAAATCTATAGCAATTCCTTTCAAAGGATTGTAATAGCAATTTATGGGTTCGTGTACTAAAGTATGAAGTCGGAAGATGATATGAATAACCAATAAACATATTAAAAACTAAGAGCGACAATTTAACGATATCGATAATACGACTTAAAAAAAATTTTTATCCCAATCGTTTTCACATGTCAAATATTTGTTGTGTGAAGTTCGTGAATATATTTCAAATGCATAAATGAAAGGTACTGCCTTAGATTTCAAAGCCAAAAGCATGCGTTGTGACCTATGCCCCATGCGAGGTGCCAGTATTTTCTTTGGTTAATCACCATTAGTCAGTCGTTGGTTTATAGAGCAATAAAACTGACAACCTCCTTTTTTGAAGTTCGTTAAAAATGAGCACGCATGCGATCCATATTGAACAGTGTAAATGAGCCATTTCATACGGGAGATTATTTATTTTCCTTATATGAAAATGGCAACAACTGATATTTAAAAATATGTGGGTTATGTGTCCGTTGTTTTTAATTTTAAGAGGATTTAATACTTATTTTAAATTGCTCTTCTTATATTTTTACGTT